CTTTATGTGAGCACACTTTGTGCTATGTGAGCACAAGTTTTCAGGCCCTGCTTCTTCATCGACATCGCTGTATTCAACAAAATCAGCGTACTTGCTGGTAAACGCGGCGACTTCACTTCGAAAATTTTCAATTTTCGTGTGTTTCCAGTCGCGAAAAAAAACAAATTTGTGCTCCGGTTTTTTGCAAGAGTATGCTGAAACCGTTTTGCACAGTCGATGATCTGAAAAATCGACGTCTTCTGCGTAACAGGACTTGTACAGATTTTTAGGGCTGCATAAAACATAATCAATTTTACTGGTACTTGTCAAAATGGTATTATCAGACTTTCTCAAGCGTTGAGCAACTCGAGTATTTCCGATTACCTTGTCTTCAAAAGAGAATTCAGCAACAAATTCCGTTAACAATTTCAGATACGGGCTGCTAGACATCGGCGAACTGTCGATGTTGAAATCGCCCATAAGAATGTGATCGCTATCCGGGTACTTCAAAAGTACTTCACGCATATGTTCAAACAAAACTTTCGTATCATCTGCATTACAATCGGGCTGGCGATAAACAGTTCCAACGATGATTTTTCTTTTCGAAATTTTAAGTTTTAGCCATAAACACTCAAACCCTTTACTGCGAAATTTTATTTCAATACGCTCAGCTGGGATATATTCAGGAACATAGCTTATAATACCCCCGCCACCAGCTTTGCCGTGAATGGCAGTCCTATGACTTCGGTACATACAATATCCAGGGATGAAGTATAATTGATCAGGATCACAGGAGCTAAGATGAGTCTCAGTTAAGGAAAAGAACTTGGACGAACCATCATCGGAGCACAGATACTTAGTAATTAGGTCAAGCTTAGCATAGCCGAAACCCTGAGCGTTTAAGTGAAGAAACTCCACCGCATGATTAACTGCTAACGCCATGTCTCCTGCGCAACCGATTCCGCTATGTTTGATACCAGACGATAGAGAAAAACTTAATTGTTAATTCAGAACTGATTTCGAAAGAGTACAACTACTATAAAACGAGGAAAACCGAGAAAACTTCTCTGGCTGGCCGGATTAAATTTAATCCACCAGCCAGCCAGCCTGTTATAAAAAAATTATCACTGTTATAAGAAAAAAACGTCTGTCTTGCAGATCTTTGCCACAAGCACGGATCCGCGTATGCGTACTTGCTCCTCACACGTATGGGCACTTAGCAATTTTCTCCAAGTTTAAAAATTCCAGTCCATTCTGTTCACAATATCATGTAACTGGAAGCTCAAATATTCTGGCACCAAAAGTAAACTTCACAATGGCAATCTTATGAAAAAGCAATTGAACCGACCAAAAGTTCATCAAAAAATGATGTTAATTTGGTATAAACTCAGGCAATTTCTATCTGGTTTGCCCTGTTATCAAAACACAGTGCCAATAGAAATCTTCTTGGTCATGACAAATACATTCAGATACAGTATTACTGTATTACAGCCTTTGTGATGTCGTCGTGGATTGTCGCAGACTGGCTCAAAATAACAAAGAACTTATAATATTCTTAAAATATTTTAGCAAACTTTCAAGACGCAAGATCCATGTATTGCATTCTATTCTACAAAACCCGGTAATTTCTAAACACTTGAGTTCGTTAACTGCAAGACAGTCTACAGGTCAAAGTGTAGACATTTTAGTCACAGCATACCGCATAGTCTATCCCATAGTGAACTACATAGTTGTTCCCGCAGTTTATCCCGCAGTAAACCACGCAGTTAACCGCAAAGTTCGTCTTGCAGTGAGACCCACAGTATATTCTGGAGTTCTTTGCATATCGTATGTGCGTGGATCACTCCGTGGTAAACAGTATATTATGTTACGTACAACATCTGAAAATTAATTTTTTTTTATTTTGCGAACGCTTTTAAATTATCTCTGTTGCCGATTGCAACATACTTATCAAAATTTTCAAAACAAAATCGGAAGAAAAATCTACTTATTCACAGTTAACATATCCCTGTACAATCAAGATGAATTCGCATTTTCACTATTTGAAAACCACTATTACCGAAATAAGCAAACCAATATCGTTCTACTGATTAAATTTCAATAACCACCACTTTCACATAAAAAAGTGCTCTTCGTACTAGAAGTCAAATGAACGTTTGAAGAAGGCAGGTTAGAGTGCACCAAATTGATTTGTCTTCCCCTGAACTTGCATTTTATATCAATTAATCTTATTATTAGTTTACAGTAAACTACGTAGTTGACCCCACAATTGATCCCACAGTCAAGAGTATATTAAACCTCGCAGTTCATCTCATAGTATGCTAAGCAGGCGAGTCCGCAGTATACTTGCAAATGACTTACATGACTGGCTTTCCTATCAGCTAAAAAATTTCGGTAATAAACTATCTTAGAGACTCTTCCTTTGATTCCATAGCTTAAGTTTTAATCTGCAGCTATGTGCCTAGTACACAGAAGCACTGGGTTCATGATATTTTGCTAATGTTTTGCTGCCAGTGATAGTTCAGAGCACAGTCTGCATAAACAGAATTTCATATAAGTTTGAGTTTAAAAAAATTTCTTACTTGAAGCAGTTACAATAATACAACTGTTATAAAGTTGCTCATGTGTTTATTAAACAGCGCGGATTGCAAAGCAAATGTATGCAAAAGCGGGCACACAATGGAATACAAACTTCAGTACGTACATGGTGTGCCAGTAAAAATGTAATGAAATACTATGCCTCTGAGGCTGTAAAATTATCGCAAAATGAAATAAAATAAATTTTATTATGTTGTACGGAATATATTATCTTGTTTACAACGGAGCGATCCACTCACATACGATATGCAAGGAACTCCGAAATACACTGTGGGGTTCACTGCAAGACAAACTATGCGGTTAACTGTGTGGTTTACTGCGGGATAAACTGCGGGATCAACTATGTAGTTCACTATGGGATAAACTATGCGGTACGCTGTGACTAAAATGTCAACACTTGACCGTCAGATTGCCTTGCGGTTGATGGATGACAATGTCTAGAACTTATTCGAATTTGCAAAATAAAATGCGATACGTGAATTTTGCGTTTAAAGGATGTTTTTGTCCAAGAACATAAAGGGTTTTTGATTACCTTGTGCCAGTTTGCAAAAACCCACGATGAGCTCACAAAGATTGTGGTACTCGAGTGTACGTGTCTGATTAAGAATTGAACTGATTTTCAAGGACATCCTGATTTTTATTAATTTTGCAGACCTTAAAGAAAACCTTTATTATTTTAATAATTATACATTGATATGAATTGCTAATGAACTAATAGCAGTTTTAATTGCTTTTTCATTTTCTTGTGGCACATAACTGTGCGAGTTTATTTGAGCTTCTAATTACATGATATTGTGAAAGCAGAATGGACTGGAATTGCTAAACTTGGAGAAAATTGCTGAGTGCACATACGTGAGAGGAGCAAGTACGCATACGCGGATCCGTGCGCTCAGGCTCAGGACGCGTGATGACGTCCGCTACAAGCAGGAGCCTTTTACATATAATTTTTTTGTTTTGGCTGGCTGGTAGCTTGTTGCGCGCCATATAATTTAGGGGAATAATAGTAACTGCCTCGCGGAAAGTGACTAGAAAATGGTCGGTGCAGACGCGTTCTTCCCTCGTATGGGAACAATGCCCTCATTGGCTGTGATAATTTAACATCACAACCAATAGAAATTATGAAATACCGGATTACACGGCTCGATTATACTTAAATATTTAGTAGCGCCTAATTAGTAGCACCTAAATTCATATCGCGTTGCTATTAAAAAATTTAGTAGCACCTAGATATACTAGTAATTTGCATTGCACTGCAATAAAATATTATAAGCACCTATTTAGTAGCACCTACATATACTGCACGTGCATTGCAATTTGCAATAAAATATTAATAGCGTCTAATTAGTAGTACCTAGACGAAATTCGCATTGCAAACGCGAATTTATTAAAGTATTTAGTAGCACCTAATTAGTAGCGCCTAGACGGTAATGTAATGGTTGCAAACGCGAATTTATTAAAGTATTTAGTAGCACCTAATTAGTAGCGCCTAGACGGTAATGTAATGGAGCCCATTTCGCAATTTCTATTGGTTGTGATCACGGCCAATGAACGCATTGTTCCCATACGAGGGAAGAACGCGTGTCGGTGCAGTAAGTGACAATCTGACTGCGGAGCGCATAATTAGGCAGTGTGATGAACGTAGTGAAGTGGCCATCGTTATAAGCGCAAACTTCGCGCTGCTGTATCTTTACGTAGGAAATTACCGGACAAGCTTGTACGTCTGCGTAATAACATGCAAGTAAAATGAGTTTTCGTAATTACAGTTAATCAGAAGACAATGAATCTTCCCAAACCGCCCTGCCTAGCTAGGCGCCGGATGACTCAGCTCCACTGAAATCATATGGTTTTATGCATAGACACCAGCGCGATCGTCTCCCCTCCTAATTACAGTATACTCATTTTATCGTAGAAGTGTAGTTATTCGCAACCGTAAATCTTTGTTTACTTTGGCACCGCTGGCCTGCGCGTCCGCGCCTTCAGTCTGTACCTCCTGCGCGTCCGCACCTCGTATAAAATGTAATAGGGAAACAAAGACGCAATAAAGGCTATGTTTTTATAAAGCGCTAGATTGTCAGATGGTAATGTACGATGCTGCCAGTGGTGCATTGGACTTCAGTTTGAACTTTGGAGGTAAACCCGCGGGCTCGCAGCCGATATAGCGCCATGCATTATGCGTACGATTGCTTACTTATACGTCAGCAGCAATTGGCAGTCCCCTGCACCTATGTATGCTGCATACATACTGTGTATACTGACCGTATGCTGCTAGATGTCCACATAAAACCAAGCAAGCAAGACCCGCTAGCTCGTTATTTTGGCGACGAGTACTATATAAATCACTTCGTTCAAAGACAGGAGTGGCCGGCCGAAGATATACAAACCACAAACTTAAACGAATAACCCGTGATGGAGTCAAGGCTCACTTACAGTTGGAGAAAGTTGCGAATGGGCTGCCAATCGTCCGGATACGCCAGGGTGTGCACCCAGCGCGCGTGCACAGTCGTAACCTTTCTTAGCATCTCCTCAGTGACCGGCGGGAAGTTGTCGTTGCAGGCGAGCATGAAGCGGCTGGCCATGTGCATTTTGCCGTCGCTGCACTTGAGAAAGAGCCGCGGAATGCGGATCTGCAGTTTGTCGATGGCCAGTTCGTGTGACTCACTAGTCAGTCGCTTCATGAATTCCCGCTCGTGAGCTGGCAGGAGGCGGCTAACAGGATCATCCCGGTAGGAAATATGTGCAAATAGAATATCGACAAAAAAGCTGAGATTCTCCAGTTGTACAGTATGATATAGTTGCAGGTGTGCTTATATGCCGTTAGTTCAATCATGGCCGTATGTTTCAACCGAGTTTTCCTTTGGTGGCTGAAATATGCGCCTGGGTCGCCGTTATACGTGTGGTCTTTGAAGACGATCAAAGGCAGCCTGGTGACCATTATAGCTTCAAGCAAATTGTTCAGGAACAAAATGTGAAAGGGCGGGGGAAAAGTCAGCAGTGTGAGGCTGATTGTGCTTGAGCTAATTGAGCGGAGGAGTAGAAGTGCCGCTTTGAAGCAGTTGCCGTTGTCCACCTTCAGCCGCCAACAGCTCTCTAGCGAGATACTGATGTGCTCCGTCATGCGCGGACTGCTCAGCAGCAACTGCCACAATGCGCACACCCTGCCAAGACAAACACATGCGCGCGGTTAAAAAATTTTTTTATTTGCAAAGAGTGACCGGGCGTAAACCACAAAAATTAAACGGATACGTACAGATATGTAGTAACATACTAACATCTCTGTATTAGCACACCGTCCAGTCCAGTGGCCTCAGAATTAAATAATAACATTATTGTAAACGTCAATATACCACCACCGCCAGGTAGTACCACATACAGAGTACATACTCTAACAATGAAGTATAAGCGTGGACTATAATATTACTACGAGTATTCATTTTTTTGTTTGGCAATGGTCATTGGTCACCGCACATAACAAAATGCCTGCGCGCTGGAGACTATAATTGAAATGCCTCATTTAAATACTGAAAAAACAATCAAAATCGTTAGTGTCACCAGTCATGTAATTTTGCTGTCACTGGATCGGTCGTGGACAAATAAGTTGCTGAACTGTTACGTATCTACTAAGCGCTAATAACTGTACTTTTATTGGTGCTGAACTTTAGCACTAAATAAACCCCAAAGCAACTGCGAACGTACATGGGCTACGCCAGTTGCTGGGTACAACATAGGTACTCACTACTCGTACAACAACAACTCACATTAACATTCATTAATCTTTACTGTACACTCCATGAAGCGAAACCAGATTCATTACAACTTTCCCGAACTTTTACCACGAATTTTTAAAAAGAGCTTTTTACAATTTGAAAAAAAAGTGATATGGAACTGGTTTTAGTTCACATTATTCCTCTTGGCAACAGGCAAAGTGCCTTTTACGGAGAAGTTTCAAGGAGATCGGATTTATAACCTAAGTTTTGGTGCAGGACAATGCATTCAGATTTTTGGTTCAAGCTAAATCGTCATATCTCGACAACCGGAAGTTGCGCGCACAAATGCTTTCCTCAAAGATGTATGCAAACTGCCTGCCTTTAGAACAGGACAGAACAATACAAAAAAAACGTTTTTGAGTGCCAGCAAATGACAATTTCAGTGGACATACCCGAAAAAATAACCACCATGTACAAGGCCTTGAAAAATTCCTTAAATTAAGCTTCCACTAGAGTTTCCACCGCCCTTTAAGCTGCGATTCGAACTCGAAATTGTGCCTGCAACTGCCGGCTGCTGTGATATCGTCCCGCGAATTTATGTATTTAATTTACACTTGAACACGTTAAACAACTAACTGTCCACCGCCAAAGTTAAGGCTTTCGTATTACCCACGGCCAACCCGGTCTGTTGATTGCTTTGTTTTGCCGTACCGTTTGGTCCTCATTTGTGAATGCACGTCCAGGTGGGAAAATATGTCACTCAGCAGCGAAGGGGTTAGATCACGGATGGAAGCAGTCAGCACCAGTGTGTCATCTAGATATGAAAACATCCCAAAGAAATGAGAACAGACCAAGACATGATACTTCGGTTTCATTTCCGACTAAGATACTTCGATTTCAGCTTTAACAAGTTCCCAATCGTGCCGACCGTTTAAAATTTTCTAAGTTTAACGCGAATTTTCTATGGAAGTGCACACCCAACTTCGCGAGAAGAAACGTCGCAGCTGGCTCGCAAACAACTTTCTATCGTTCGTTAGTTCTTTTAGAGTGAGCTCAAAACAATGAACTCTCTGTACTTACTTATTGTACATATACCGATTAAAACTCAAAATTTGCGCGCAACAACCGGCTGCTGTGCTGTCACCGAAAAATATTAAAAAAACTCTCGGTCGAGCAGACGTTATAAGCGCTACGAAGCCTCTTCATACGTTAACCTCTGAAAACGTTACATTATCCGAAGAACGTTGTAACGAAATTGTCAAAACAGTAGTGTGTGACTAAGAGTTCTACTCAGGGGCGAATTTATGGAGGGGGCACGGGCCCCCTCCGGAATTTTTCAAAAGTGAGCACTTCAAAAAAGTAAAGAGGGTGCTAACCTGCTTCGCATAAGACGCTTTCTTCTGCGCGGAATACTCGGTTAGCGATTGGCGGCAGTTCAGCACGGCTGATCATATGCTTTGCCAGCGCTTCCGCCAGCATGGCAGTCGTCCTTGGTGGGCTGAAGTCGATGGTAATGAACATACAGGCATGCTTTTGAATGCGCAGATGAAATCTACAAGACATCGACGGAAGTGAACTACTGGAATCGTCTTGCCCACTAGCTGTGTGGATATGCATGATGATTCGGTATTTGTCGGAAGGGTCGCTCAGAAGATCTTGTGCTCTGGCAAATGGGATGAAGTGTTTGGTGCAGACTAGATCACTGCGGCGCTCCAGCAAGGATGGCCAAGTGGGCGGCAACTGACGGACAACCTGACCGATGTCGACCAACTCGAAATGACCTCTCTGTGTGGGTGCGTCAGTCGTAACAGCATTAGTCCGAATGCAGTTCATTCCATACATCCACTGACAGCAGGATAAAAGCTGCGTTATAAGGGCTGGACGGAAGCGAAATGGTCCATTATCTTCGTCACGGAGAGCCACGAAACTGTTCCGATAACCTGAAGCTTCATTATTACCGCCGTCATTTACGTAGAATGGGAAGGACCAGACGGCTCCCATATGCATCCACCGCGGTGCGAAGGTCTTAGAACCAAAATGAATGAAGGCCTGGTCGCCGTCCAGGTCCTGAATGAAGCCGAGCCGCCACATGCCATCATCGTTGCGTACGAGCACAGTGTTCTGGCAGTTTAGCTGATCGACATCCGTCCACACCCTCTGAAATCGCGGCATCACACCCAGCGAAAAGGCCATTTCATCCTAAAAACAACGAACGACGTACTCAGGCTGACGTAACTTAATCCTCTATCAGAATTAATCGGAATGCGACTTTTGACTTCACATGCGCTGTGCCATGGTGTTCTCCCCTAGAAACGCTTGTAAACGGTTTCCGAAAGAACTTTAACCCACTTTGCAATGACGGGGGAAGTCATCACTTCATCACTAAAACTTCCCACGACCGGCGTTGGCCGAAGTGCCGCACATGTGTGGCGGTGGCAGCAGTTATTTCGCTGTAGTGCACTGGCTCGCGTGGTGTGGCTTAAGTGCTTTCGTCATCGGTTTTTTATAACGCAAATAACTTCAAAACGAGTGAACCGATTTTGAAAATTTCAAGTACTCTAAAAGAACAAACTTTCCTGAATCCGTTAAAACAAAAGGCGGAAAGAAAAACGAATCAGGAGAAGAATAACAGAAGCTGGCCCACTTAAGTGTATGTCGCCCAATCACTTATCATAGTGGCCCTTAACTGTCTTTACGAGCAGATGAAATGGCACCACAGAGTCTGGTGCATGGAAAACAGCGCACACGCTGCTTGACGTTCTACGTAACGTGTGCGCTGTCCGACAGGGGCAGGCAGGTAGCGGCCGGATCCAAAAGTGGTGCCGTTTCATCTAGCGGCTACAGTACAGTATCTGTAAATGATACGACCCTCAGCGCAAGTACTGTAAAACTATATTTCCCTGTTTCCGCCTGCGCTCCCTCTAAAGCAATACCTAAACGGCCTAATTTGCGTCTCATAGTTCATCGGTAACTGCGATTTCGGTTAGGCGTTGACCCAACTTCGAATGACTATGATGACACTGTCCACCGGCACACTGTCTCATTTTTACGAGCGACTGTGAGGAAAACGCTGCTGCTCGCACTTAAGACAATCTAAATTAGGCCCTTCTCAGCGTTTGTTCTTTTTTTACGGCAGTTTCCTGCGAAGCGAACCGTGACAGGTGCTTATATGCGGTACACGACGGATATCCGTCGTACCATATAAGAAACTGTAGTTTCTGTTTTTGGTGTCCAAATCCGAGTGTAAACAAAGCAACTTTTTGGCGGTCGTAGAGTGCGGAAGTGCCCGGCAAGTTGAAGGCAGCGGTCGGGCCTAACGGCGATGTGTGAGGTGTGTTGTGTTCTGGTCGATGCGTGACGAATAACACCATGACATGTAAGAAAAATGTGTACAGATTTTACTGATTGTAGGACATTAGAAAAACTCTAGAAAATTGTCGAAAAACGGGAAGTTTCGAGAACCAGTGTTTGGCAAAGAAAAAGTCTAACTGGGCAGAAACAGAGTAGAATGTTTACAACCTTACAAGGGGCGCTCGAGAAAGAGTGGTTGCGTTTTTTTACAAAGTTTAAAGCATATTTTTACTCGGGATTAAGATCGTCACATCTTGTTGCGCTATGGGCAGAATTACTTCAGATCGGTTACTGGGTATATGGAAAATTGTTTTAAGCATTTTAGATTAATAATTAAATACCTGGATTATATTATGTAATCTTACATTTAAGAATTTGGCGGAACCTGCCGGCACTCCGCTCACGAGTTGAGCGGCCCCGTAGGTTCAAGCTACTTCGCTTTCTCAATGCGAAAGTCTCAAAATTGTAAGCTAACAACTTTTTTCTATGGTGTGCGAGCACTTTTATTACTCTGATCTTGTTAGTTTTCCGCTCTCCTGCCTTTCCGGAATCTTTCCGTCCATAAGCGAATCTGCAGTTGGCCCACTCGAGCGTTCCAGACGTAAACTATTAATTGTGACGGAGCACAATCAGTTTCAAGTAAAATCTCCGGACTGATAAAGCTATGAACGCAACGCTTACTGAAAACATATAACATAAAATTTTGTTGGCAGAGGTTAAAATAATTTCTAATATTCTCGAATTCCAAGAACAATACTTTATGGAGCAATAAATTGTAGCACTAGTAGTATGGAATACTTAAAGGTAAAACAGTAAGCACAAGGTTTAATAAGGCTTCTTTGATATGGTTTGGTATGACTTCTTAATATACTTCTTTGATAATCTAACGATAGTCTTATTATATGACTTACATATCGTACGTTATTGCTAAAACTGCGAATGTAACACAAATAATTATTACTGCACGAATATTTAATGTTAGTCGTCTCTATGCTCATAATATTACATTTGCACTTCAGATGCGAGTTTGTAATAGACAAATTGCTATTCACAAACATAATCGTTTATTATCGACAAGAAGTCATTTCTTTGTTTGAAAAGAAATTAAAAGTTTGTTTATTATTAATTTTATCTGTAACTTGTTAGACGAATAGAGAAGTATTAAATTACGACGGTAATAGTACTCTAGGTAATCGTTGAATTACCTAGAGTACTCTGTAGTTAGTAGTTACTGTACAGTTACTTATGAAGAGGACGCCGCAATGAGGGCATGGAAATGCGCCAAAATCTCTATGAACTAACTACAATAAAAAACATACAGTAAGTGCAAAGTACAAACACACAAGGTACCCTCAGCGTGCAAAACGTACGTTCTCGGAGGTTCTCAGTCTCACCATGCTGACAGGTTGATGATACGCTTAGCCGTGCAATCGTCCAGAGTACTCACAAACAGAACATTAGGAAAAACACTGTATTTCTAAGATTACGAGCTCAGGAATTCCGTATTGCGGCATAATTTTGGCACAAGCAAAATCAGACTTTCCAAGGCGCAATAATATCATTCCAACGAAGACGCCAGAAGCTGGATCCCCACTATCATGCATTGGCAGCATTAATACGTGCTACATCGCAAATTATTAGCACATGCTACATGGCAAATAACGTGCAGACAATCGTCAGCCACACACCGGCAGGGCTGCGCATGTGTGTGCGGCTGTGCGCTGTCCCAGTCTCTCTCTCCTGCTTTAGAGTGACTTCCTTCGGGCTGCAAGCAGAGCATGTGATCTGCCGGTTTCGGTGGTTCGGGCAAGATACCTGGTGCACAAACCCGTCGCGAGACCCCTGTGCAATTTTCAAAAACAAACTCCTCCTACAGTTTTCATCGGAAAATCTTTCTGAATACACCATTGGATTCGTCTTGAAATTCTGAACAAAACGGTTGAGGCCGATTTTTGAAATTCGTATTTCCCCCTAGACCCTTACTACGGGCGGTCCCCAATTCGACAGCCTGACTTCTGGGGAATTCCCCCGTGCACTTTCAAAAATATACTTCTCCTACAGCTTTTATTGCTTATTTTTTCTGAAAATATTCCTGAACTCGCCGTAAAATTCTGAACAAAACGGTTGAGGCCAAATTTCAAAATTCGTTCCTCCCCCAGCCCGTCTACCCGGGCGGTCGCCTATGTCACAACCCAAGTTTTGGGGCTTTTCCCCCTGACCCCTCAGAAATGGAGAAACCATTTGCGCTTGAAATACTAATTGTATCACTGAAAAAGGCTCGAGAAAATGTCTTTGACTGCCCTTGGGGGCCCGGGGGGATTGCCCCAAGAACTGGGCTGTCGCATTGGCGACCGCCCGCAGTAAGGGTCTAGGGGGAAATATGAATTTCAAAAATCGGCCTCAACCGTTTTGTTAAGTATATCAAAATGAATCCAATGGTGTATCCAGAAAAATTTTCCGATGAAAACTGTAGGAGGAGTTTTTGAAAATTGCACAGGGGTCTCCGCGACAGGCCTGCTGGTGCATTAGTCACGTCTTCAGACCGTTAATCCGTTTCACGCATGTACGAGTAATAAAACGTTCGTAATCAATAATATTGCGTTCGTAATCAGTAAAAAACAAAATAATAGCTAATAAATAATTAATTACCATATCCGCCTAGGAAGGACGCATTAAAAATTTCTCATAGGCGGCAATGTTAACTGCACAGGCTTTATATACGGTCCATAACCCTGAATGAAAAACCGAAAACTATTTATTTTGCCTAATACTGTGTAATATTCTGCATTCTTGAAGATTATGTTTCAGAATTTAACGCTGCAATGAGAATAGTTACGAATTCTCGAAGATTTGGTTCTAAAGCGGGTGGCATGGGCCAGCGCACGCATGCAAGCTTCTCTTATGTGGTCGCTCGACAACCAACAATCTCGCAGCCACAGTTTGAAAGACAGGTTGAAAAAAGTATAATTTGAATTTGCCGGTGTGTGCTGCAAGCCTGCACGCCGTGCACGGTAAAATAACGTTGTACACTTGCTGTCTCAGCATTCGCTGGCTATCGTGCCGGTACTGCCGGACACCGAAAATCTGCTACCAGAACTATAGCCAATTTCCGGCGTACAACTTGGGACAATGACTTTCGCATGCTCAGCAGTTTGCTGCGAAAAAGCAAGCTCGTGACTTTTTCCGCCGCACAGGCGGAGGATAGAAAAGCGGGATTGTACTTGTACTTACAGGGCAGATACATCTTCGTACCGCTCGCTTTTGAAACTCTTGGACCATGGGGAAAATCAGCTAGCCGTTTAGAGAAAGAAATTGGCAAGCGACTTCAACAGCATACGGGTGAGCCTCGCTCCCATGAGTACCTTCGTCAACGTCTGTCGCTGGAAATTCAGCGAGGCAACGCCGCTTCCGTTCTCGGTACAATGGAAGGAGCGGCAGCATTAAATGAGATTTTGTTATTTTGATTAATTGTTTCGAAACTGTGATGTTACCGCATTTTGTGAAATAAAAATCTCACGAAAAGCTCGTGACGGCAAAATTTTAAATTAGCAAAATTGCTCGAACAGTTATCAAATAAAGAAGAAAGCAAATATTTTTGATTACCCATTTGCAGTTTCAATGTTAAACAGAGAATCCGCATGCTGTCTGTGGAACTGGAATGCGGACTATTTGCAATCGCACAAAGTGCAATATCCTGCTATACTTCAGTTCATCACCGGGGATGCTTTTGCGGTTGCTGGCGGTTTTATGGCCACATAAATAATTTTAATATTATTTTTATTTCTGTAGAAAATTTGTAACATAAGTACAATAAGATGCAATATGACCTGTTAGTGCAGTGATTATGCATTAAGCCCAACTATTCTTTATTACTCTGTATATTAATTTGTTCGTAATCTTCCAGTTATTTTTAACCTCTTCATGTTTTCCCAGACCGACTTTCATCTCATAGGGATCCCCTTAAGCATCCGAAAGGGCAGAGGATAAAAGGTGGCAACGGCACCTGCCACTGGCAACTGCCACCGGCAGTGGCAGTTGCCACTACGTGTTCTGGCTAGCGATAAAATGTGGCAACTTAAAAAAATTTAGAATCAGCTAAAATTCGCCTCGAAACGATTTCGCCATCAAACGATAAGTTATAAAGGAAGTACCTTTGTACTTTAACAAATCCACTCTATTAGACTTATGTTTTCGCATGCTTTTTAACGTTTTTTGTGTTTCTAAAACAGTTCCGTATATCCCAGTTCCCACGTACTTGCTTTCTAGTCGTAATACAAGTACAAACTTCGCAAATTAAAACAGCATTTATAACAGAAAACTGGTATCATCCCATTTCGCCTACGGGACATTTCGCCTACGGGAAGTTTCGCCTATAAATTCGATTCGAATCATGAATAACGCTAATACCGAAAGCGTTTTCTTCTGGTTTCTTATTTTTTCTTATATCTCCATGCTTTCTTAGGTGTCTTAGGTTTTCTTCGGTTTTCTTAGGTTTCTTAGTTTGTTTTTTATGATTCGAATCAAATTGTTGTGCGAAATGTATTTGAGCGTACCCATTACACAAAGCGCGTTTCCCCGTGGTATTTGCATAGATACTCGTTGCTTAAAAAACTGTTTCATTCTGGCCAGTGGATATCGCTATACCGTTTCGAACCTTCTCCACTACAGTAGTTTTTTGGTTCCGTTTCCCCAGGGTCCGTAAATTTCGAAGGCAGAGCAAGGAAATCCAAGTTAAGTTATCCCAGCCGAAGCGTTCCATTCTGGTATTCACATAAGAGCACGAAATCTGGGCAAAACTGTTTGATCTGGCTTGACATGTATCACATTCTGGATGACAAAAATAAAGCCACCGCAGAATCTCGGAGTCGCATTTGGAATTTAGATTACTAAAACTTGGACTTGGATAACTTGTCTTATCGATTCGATTCCGTTTTCTTGACTGTTTTTATTGTTTCTCTTTTCTTCTTATATTTCATACTTTTCTTTTGTTACTTACTTTAATTTAAAAACGCAAGAATACGCTAAAGTATAAGAAAAATAAGAAGACGTATGTTCTATAAAGTCGATTTGTGAAAATAAAATGATTCTCTTTATAGAAGTTATCGTTGGATGGCAGAATCGTTTCAAACTGTTTCTGAATTTTTTTAAAGTTGGCACGTTTTATAGCTTGCCAGAACGTGAAGTGGCAACTGCCACTGCCGGTGGCAGTTGCCAGTGGCAGGTGCCACTGCCACCTTTTATCCAGAGGCCGCTCATAAAGAATGCATATGCGTAAACAAAAGCAGAATTGCTTTATGTTAGTCGTATTGAATCTTATTTCGCAAGAACATCCTAGTCTGGCCATCGAAGCTTCGCCCGGAGGTTTTTCCAGCTGGTCATCTTTCAACTGCTTTCGCGTATCAGACAGGCGAGGATCAGGGTTTTCAAACGCAGAACAGTTCGTCGATTCCATACACAGCCATTTTGCTCAGCTTGGACACATCCAGTACCCTCAAGTCCACATCGTTCCAAATTTGCGGAGTTCCGTCCGGATGAAACCCGCTGAACCTGCAGAGCAGGGTAAGGCATTGACACACTGAAGCTAAGGCACGAAATAATGCACAATGCGTGACTGAAACTGCAAGTATCAAGTTTCTACTAATGCTGGGGTAAAACCAGCTGCCCATGCTGCTGCTACAACCAGTAAAATCTAGTTATTCTCAGGGACAGTACTTACTTTTGTCCTGTCTTTATTGCTTACTTTTCTTATCCCTGTATAGTGTTAAGTCAAAAGCGGTTTTAATATCGGGCTGAAAGGAATACGAGCCTAGTCGTCAGTGGTTGTATGGAATTTGGTTGAGAACGTGAACGGCAGAGGAACTGGGTGGGCGCTATGATTTATTGAGTTTTTGGTTCAGAAGCTGAAAAAGTCCGCAGTATGTAGACAAAGTGTAGAAGTCTGGAAGTCGCCGATCTAGCAACTAAAGAGAACATCGAGATTCGAGATGTGCATTGTCAAGACGAAAAGTGCTCGCGCTAAGTTGGTCAGTGCGTTGTGTTGAGTTGGTCACGTGATTCACCGGGAAAGGGGCTTTGGTCTGAGATGCTGATTGGCCTGCAATGGTTTTGGTTATGAGAAATACGTATGCAGAGTTGGCCGTGCAGTGATTTGAGTCGCACTTATAAAGTACAATTTGGGACACTCCGCAGTGCTCTGGGATCCGGTGGTTTACCCCTTGGCACTGCGGGATCTGTTGATTCCCTGACCGGAACGCAGATGCGTCTGTCCGGGCGGTAATTTAAGTACGTCGGCGTGATAGCATGCAAATACAGTGAGTTTTCGTAATTACAGATACAGTAATCCAAAGACAATGAATCTTCCTACACCACCCTCCTTAAGCTAGACGCCGGCTGACTCAGCAGTCTCAGCTCCACTCAAGTCATACATTTAAAAAGCACTAGTTTCGTCAGATGGTATTGCAGGATGTGGGATGCTGCCTGTTGTGCACTGGACTTCAGTTTGGAGGTGACACCTACAGCCAGTATCGCCATGCCTAACTGGGTATAGGTTATGATCATTTTGTGGTCCCCTGCGCCATTTACCTATATAAGTATATACAAAGTACTACAAGATTCGCACATAAAATCACGAAAGCAAGACCGGCTAGCGCGTTATTTTGGCTACAAGCATAAAATCACTCCGTTCAAAGACAGGGCTGGTCTACGACATACAATGGACGCAGTGGCGAATTTAAGGGGGGGCTCCCGGGGCTAATGCCCCCCCGTAACTCGGACGTGAAAAAAATTCGCAAGAGGGGTACGTTGCGAATTTTTTCTCGGCGGAGGTCGCCAAAAAACAGAGAGAATACTCCCCCCTTTGGTATGAGTTCTCTAGCCCCCCGTCGAAACCCGCCTAGACCCCCCTTTGAATGGACGCCACAAATGTGGTTACAGCGATAGCCGATAGCGCTATGCATGCATACAGCTATCGGTGTAACCACATTTGCGGCGATCACTGTACAATCCAGAAACTGGAAGAGATAACCCACGATGAAGGAAAGGTGAACTTACAGCTGTATGAAGTTGCGAATGGGCTGCCAATCGTCCGGATACGTCAGGGTGCGCACCCAGCGCGCGTGCACAATCGTGACCTTTAGTAGCATCTCCTCGGTGACCGGCGCGAAGTTGTCGTTGAAGGCGCTCATGAAGCGGCTGGCCATGTGCATTTTGCCGTCGCTGCACTTGAGAAAGAGCCGCGGAATGCGGATCTGCAGTTTGTCGATGGCCAGTTCGTGTGACTCACTAGTCAGTCGCTTCATGAATTCCCGCTCGTGAGCTGGCAGGAGGCTAGGGACATGGCTATCACCGTACAAAGCGTGTTCAAATATTTCGTACGATAGGTCGCCAAAAAATGCGGTAACTCTCCAGTTAAGCAGCAAAACGTAGTTGCAGGTGTGCTTGTATGCCGTTAGCTCAATCACGGCCGTACCCTATTAAAAGTTTTTGTGTCAATGATAGTTTTTTCAGCACTTTTTTTCGTACGTTTGGTGGCACGTGATACGTGCGATTCACAATACCCCTTAAATCGTTACGTTTTTATCCTGTAAGACACAAATTTGTCCGCTAACCGCCATTTTTATTCTTTCCAGGCATTTTTTGTCCTAGTACAAATATGTACTTTTTAACCGGGAAAATAGTGACCATAAAATTATTATTAATTTTTTTGTTTAATTAGACGAATGCCGTAAATTGCGTATGTTTCTCAAGTTGTTCAGGATGCAGTCACTAGTATGTAGTACCTAATATCATTAATTTTATATTGTGAGTGATGACGTATTGGAAAAAACATTAATAGCTGCACCGTAATTATTCGACGGTAATAATCATTACATTCAGTAAATCTGGAAATACCTATGAAGTCTTAGGTAATATGGTCTACTTGTGATCTTCAATCTTAAAGTACGAAAATCAGTACTGCTTGCGGGTAAAGGGTTTTGTTAATTACTAGAACAAAGTTAATGACCATTCAGTTCACAGCCAAGTGCAATTGTCCTGCTTGTTTTGGGCAACACTGTGCAGTCGATAAAATTAACGTGTTGATTATATTTGCCAGTAGGATCCATTTAATCCTTTTTAATGCCATTAGCCGATCTGCAAAATTCTAACAATTCAAAATAGCTGCTCTTCTCACAAGTCAGCAAAGAAGTGCAGTCACTGCGCACTGGTATAAGATAATAATTGGTCACACCGTCAATACAGAACCACAGAAATACTGCATTTTCTAAACAGTTGCTTTGAATCAACTACTGTAGAATTAGATGCCGGATAGGTATATTCCGAAATTAGCGAAATATAAGTATAAACACCGGTCGTATCAGCAATAAAATTTAATAGTCCAGTGCGGTGCATGCGAAGAGTGTGTTCGTCTGACATTTCACGTTTGGACTTGTGATATCACAGACTAATTTTGCTGATACAGAGTACAGACTCAGTACAGAGTGACTGTACACTCAGTGTACAGAGTGAAAAAGTCCTGCATGTTGATACTGCCGTTGCGAATTCACTCCATGTGAAACACTGATAACACAAGTTTTTTTCGTTATTCTGACTCCAACCGTGACGGAATGTGGTACAGAGTACAGTACATGATGCAGATTGCAGACTGTACAATGTGCGCATTATCAATGCGCGTAATAAGTACGCGTACATGCATGTACACTATGGCGATTTATGGCGGCGTTATAATTATTTCAAGTAGGCATGCGTATGCATTCATATCCTTTTACACAATTAATTATAATTACGGTCTTGTTAGCTTGGCACACGCGGCGCGCTGACTGACCACACTCTACTAGTCGTGTTGGGAAAGCAATCGCATTTGGTGCTTTCTGACGAAGTCGATTTTCTACTGGTTATTTATTTTATCCAAATAATTAAACAAAATGTAACTTCACAGAGTGCTTGAGACTTTAAAAAAAGATGAACCGTTTTCTTGCTGTTTTTTACGTCGTAAAGAATTCAGTGGCGAAAATGCTTTAGCTACGCCACGTTTAGCCATGTAACAAAACCTAATAAGACATATATAATTATAAAAATAATTTTCACAGTTAACATGTACCAGCACAATAACCAACTGGGCGAAGAAAGCAAAATGAATGTAAACGATTGTTATTAATTTTATGCTCACTGTTTACCCGCGCATTACGCGATGTATTCGCGCGAATTCAACTGAATTGCTGTTTTCGACATATTATTCTTCTTATCGACGACAATTTTCGTGTATTGACGATAAATTTGTCGTACACAGCGCAGATAATTGTACTGATCAAGATAAAAAAGTATTGTGTGTACGTTAGCATGTCCTCATCGGACGTGACTTTTGTGAACCGATATGCAAAGTCTATAACACATCAATTTTTTCGTGACTCACTCAGCCAGAACGCATAAGTATGTCTGATAACACAGAAACTATTAATAGGGGTATGTTTCAGTCGAGATTGAAGTTGATGGTTAAAATTAACTCTTGAGTCGCCGTTATAAGTGTGGTCTTTGAAGACGATCAAAGGCAGCCTGGTGACCATTATAGCTTCAAGCAAATTGTTCAGGAACAAAGAGTGACAAGGCGGGGGAAAAGTCAGCAGTGTGAGGCTGATTGTGCTTGAGCTAATTGAGCGGAGGAGTAGAAGTGCCGCTTTGAAGCAGTTGCCGTTGTCCACCTTCAGCCGCCAACAGCTCTCCAGCGAAATACTGATGTGCTCCGTCATGCGCGGACTGCTCAGCAACAACTGCCACAATGCGCAAACCCTGATAACACAACACGCGCGGTCGGTTTAAGCCACCTCAGATAAGAGCAGCTGATGATAAGATCGATTTGATATTTTAATGCACTATCTGTATTCTGTACCGTATATAGGGGGACAAACAAGTCTACTCGGCCCGTTTCCTTGTACTGCTGCCGTCAGCCGCCTGGAATGTGACGTTGCGGCAATACATACGGCTAAATCAGGCGCGGTACATAAGCGCCATGTATAGCCACAACGTAAAACACCAGCCGGCTGACATCAGAAGTACAAGGGACTGGTTCGGCTAGACTCATTTTTCCCCCTATATGTTTTAATATTGGTTTGTTAAGTGTTGCCTGCCAACCGCAACGAGCGCTTTTTCAGTCCTATTCGACTTGTCATCGGAAAACAATTACGAAAACCCCAAATATTCTAAAGGGAAACGGCTCAACAGGCCTACACACGTGTGTATCCACCACAGCTGTCGGTTGCGCACACTCAAAAACACTATTTTGAAATGTTTTGTCTTGTAGAGGGCAAAAAATTTGTACAAAAGGGATAGAATGGAATGAATGGCACTTGCTGACGTCACCCGGCTGGAGTTTTATTTGTGGTTGGCCTCGGAAACATGGTGCACATAAACATGGTGCTCATGTACCGCGCCTGATGTAACCGTATTACTGCCGCATACGCATACGTATACGTATTAACGTCATACTCCAGGTAACGACAGCAAGTACAGGGCCCTCAGCACTCCCGGGAGTGCTGAGCTGAGGCAACTGTCAGCCCCTTTTATGATAATTATTGCTGGCGCACGGGACGGGAAAAAAACACGGGCGTTGGCTGCGTGTACGGAGACTTTGAATAGTTTTAAAAATAAGCGATTTTAACCTGGGCCAGCAAATGCTTCGAGCGTTACGCCAATCGTGATCATGACCTTCGCTCACGTTTTATCAAAACTGTCGCTTCGACGGATGTTGGCGCCGTTAGGGCGCTTTGCACCGTACTGTGTATGGGCACTACAGTTCCCTTTTGTACCCAAGTTGTGTTATTGTTGTTGTTATTGAATAAGGTGAAGTGTAAGCGTTTATACATACAATACTATCAAAGGAGAAAAAGCGTAAACGGTGTCAGAAGTGCAAATTACAAAACACAAATCAAAGTTCGGAAATTAAAACAAATTAGATTCCCGTGCACGCTGCCTAAACCCGTGCAGACGCTCGTGCACGCAGCCAGTGCCCGTGTTTCCCGTGCACCCAGCATGGACCTTTGTATTTACTGTCCGTACAGAGTGCACGCTGAAAACCATTTGTGCAAGCAGCATCCAGTTATTGATATTATATCAAATTACAATCGAGAAAAAGTTCAAATGCACTGCACGTTTAAAATGCAAGTTTTAATAAGCACCGAAAGTCAGCTTATTTATAATTTATCACTTTGCGTTCTGCTGTAGAATCGAACAAAACGATACACAAAAGTGTTTTGGAGCGCCCGCAAGTGGCGGTTTCGGTGGATGTACTCGAAAAAATAGGCAACATTTACCGGGTTCATTTTCTAAAATGAGCGTCCACTATCCCTTGTAAACTAAGTACTTCCAGTTGTAACTCGAAATGTGCCCGGAACAGCCGGCGACTGAGATATCGTCCCGCACAGTTTAAACACCTGAACAAGCTAGTCGACTGTACTGTCCTCCGCCAGAGTTGCGGCTGACGGGGCTTTTGGGCCGCCCACGGCCCACCCGATTTGATGACTGTTTGATTATGCCCGTACCGTTTGGTCGCCATTTGTGAATGCACGTCCAGATGGGAAAATACCTCACTCAGCAGCGAAGGAGTCAGATCACGGATGGAAGCAGTCAGCACCAGTGCGTCATCTAAATATGAAAACATTTTAAAGAACTGCAGGTTGAAACAGACCAAAGAATTTCAAAATATTAACTGTAAGTACAACGTTAACAGGTTTGCAATTGTACGTCTGCACCGACCGAATAGGAATTATGAAGCTTAAGCCCAGACCTGCTGAGGTTGACATAGACTGCGAATTAACAGTACTTAATGATTTTATTCCGCAGGGGGAAAAAATACGCGAAAATTTTATACGTACGTGAAGCAGACCAGAGCGTTGTCGTTCAGGCTTTCTGCCCTATAACAGCCAGCGCTAAAGGGCTGAGTCTGGATCTGACCAATGAAAGTTCGAGTCTGACTACTCTGTATATGTTAATCTTATGTTATTGTTATGTTTCCTTGTGTTATTTTTTATATTCTCCTTCGTATGGTTCTTCTTTTGTCTGGTGTTATTTGTTATGTTCTTCTTCATAAGTTTATTCTTATGTTTTTCTTAGGTTATTCTTGTTTTCGTCTTATTCTCTTAAGAATGTTAAGTTAAGTTAAAAATAAAATATAAGAAAACATAAGAATCATATGAAGAAGCAGATGAGAAGTGATATAAGAAATAGGATAACAATAACAGAAGAAAGACGTAAGAATAACGCAAGAATAACTTAAGACGTAACATAAGAAATAACATAATAACAAAAGAATATCATAAGAATAACATATACTCAGATCACCGTGGTTAGATTCAGACTGTACTTTATCGACCGGAGCGTAGCGGAGGTCCTCTATATTCAAGACTAATGCACTGGTTGATTTCTGTCAGTTACGGAAACCCGTTACAGATGTTCGTTACGGAAGTTCGTTGCGGAAGTTTGTTACGGAAGAGCGTTACGGAAGTTCGTTAGGGAAGAAACATTCTTAAGTTTCGCTGCTGACCGCTATGACGTCGTTTTTGGCTTTCGTGCCATAGCGGGTTTTACAGCGGTACTTCAGCGATTGATCTATGTAAGTTACATAGACAGCACCCACACTTTTATGTACAAATACATCCTACGCATCCCGCGTAATGCACACGAGCAGGCCCGTCTTTTGCTTTTTGAGGGGGGGGGCACCCCATTGTTCTCTCCGAGGGCGAACAATGGGTGCCAGTTCCAAAGCTGCTGCCAGCTGCTGCCACCCGCTACGAATTACCATTTAAGGTGAAATCCCATAACTGTACTTTACTTACGTCCCCGTAGTTACTATAGACTCTTTAACATTTTTTCGTAACTTTAAGGTTAACTTGAAAGTGTTTAAAACTTTAAAGGTTGCATGTATTATTCATCATTCCTTAAATTTGCGGCATTTCTCAAAACCTGGCAGAACAGCCGGAAAACTAGCTCTACGCAGGTGTCTTTTGCAAATGAATAATCCATGGAATTCTACTTATTAATTATGTTCTTCTAGACCATTTCTTTCAAGACGTAACTTCTTAATTAAGTGCAGTTTCCAACAATTTTTAAGTTAGCATTACGAGTAAAAAACAGCCCTGCAACAAATATTTACAAATTTTTGTGCGGTTTGCTAAATTCACTATGTACTGCATCGTGTGCTGACCTATAGAAGTCCCGAAAACGTTCTGTAGTGGAAATTTCGCTTAAGCCTCGCTCGGGTCTGCCAATGCACGACAGCGTGGATTTTTCTAGTTAAGGAACTGCCGAAACTTCAGCTGATTGGCGGAAATGAGGAACGTTTCTAAAACCAAAGTACTGTGTACAATACAGAAACATATTAGGTACATACAGTACAGTGTGCACTGCTATATCCCATGAACCGTTTTCCTCAATTATGTACACCCACTACAACGCAGGTTATTATAGACCAAAATTAATGTCGAAATAAATAACACATTTTTTCGTCTTTGTAAGCAATTTATTTAAAACAGTAATAAAACGCAATTTATGAGCAGTGAAGTAGTTTCGTCGGATGGCTTACGCTTTTGACATCATCCGTATGCAAGAACCAATACAGTTTTTCATGATTTCCGAAAATTCATTCAGCAAATTCAATGCAAGGTTAACAAGACAATATTCGGCCTGAGGCGTCAGTACGTAGCTACATATGTACATACATAATAAATAGCTACTACCGTACAGTGAAACTTCCCTACAACATACACCCTCCGTTCCAGGCTTTCTGAATATTGTTACAGAGGGGTGTATGTTATACAGAAGCACTCCCCCCAGGGGCACTGCCCTCATGGGCTCAGGGGCACGGCCCCCGGGAGTGTTATTTAACCAAAAAATAAACAAAATATCAGAGTGTGGACATTATCGGTCTGAATGTTGGTTTTGCTGCCCTTTTGTATGCTTGGAGCTGGAAGATCTGGTACTGATCAGATTAAAAACAGAAGCCGGAACCTTATTTTAGAGACACCGAAATGGTTTTCTTCACCAGCCTAGTAAACCGTATGTTACGCAGGGGTTGAATAAGCTGGGAAAGCTGTTCCCGGTTCCGTAAAAGGTGTATGTTATAGCTGTAAAGGGGTGAATGTTATTAAGAGAACTGCCCCTGTGTTATAGTCTACCGGGCGGTTTGGTTCCCAGCTTCTTGTATGCAGCAAAGGGGTGAATGTTATAGGAAGGTGAATGTTAAGAGGAGTTTCACTGTATTATGTAGTGCACAGTAAAGGTGGGTCTCGAATTCTAAGCGAATGTAGCTAACAACAGCCGTAACAAAGCGCCGTTGAGGAACCGTAACAAAGCGAAGCTTTGTTATGGTTCCTCAACGCATGAGTGGGCGGTAGGCAGTGGCCACGGCTACAGAGAGGGTTCGCAAAGCCAGGTGTTGATGTATTGTAGCTAGATTCGCCTCGAATCTGAGACCCACCCTAGCCATTGAAAGTAGCACTAAAAACTCTCTGTACATGCAGCGGTCTTTAGTATTACTTACAGTGAGTCACATGTGGCACGATAGCAGTTAAAGACCTAAAGCGGGATAACTCCTAACCTGTTTCGAACGGGGCAGTTCCACTTGCGCAGAAAACTCGATCAGCCATAGACGGCAGTTCACTCCGACCGACCAGATGCTTCGCCAACACTTCCGCCAACATGGCAGTCGTAAGTGACTGTGATTTTGAGTCGATGGTTATGAACATGCAGACATCTTTTTGAATGCGCAGATGAAATCTGCAATAGAAGGGCGGAAGTGATGATCGGAGCTCGTGGCTCCCAAGAGCCGTGCTTATGTGCTTGATGATCCGGTATTTGTCGGAAGGGTCGCTCAGACAAACTTGGGCTCTGTCAAACGGGATGAAGTGCTTGGTGCAGACTAAACCATTGCGGCACTCCAGCAAGGATGGCCAAGTGGGCGGCAATTGACAGACAACCTGGCCGATGTCCGTTAACTCGAAGTAATCTCTCTGCGTGGGCAGGTCAGTTGTGGCAGCATCGGTTCGGATGCAAAACATTCCATGAATTACAACAGGATAAGAGATGCGTTATAACGGCTGGTCTGAAGTGAAAGGGTCCGTTGTCTTCGTCGCGGAGAGCCACAAAAACCGGAACGTTCAGAAAACCTTTGTATGGATACATAGGATCTCCCGCATAGTAAAATGGGAAGGACCAGACGGTTCCTATATGCATCCACCGCGACGTGACCTTTTTGGAGCCGAAATGGATGAAAACCTGGTCGCCTTCTATATCCTGAATGTAACCGACCCACCACGTGTCGTTATCGTTGCGTACGAGCACAGTGTTCTGGCAGTTTAGCTGGTCGACATCCGTCCACACCCTCTGAAATCGCGGCATTACACCCAGCGAAAAGGCCATTTCATCCTAAAAACAATGAACGACGCACTCGGGCTGACGTGACTTAATCATGCACCTAAATTAATCGGAATGCGGCTTCTGATTTCACATCCACAACGCCTAGGAAAGCTGGTCTAAAATTAATAAAATTCGACAAGATTTGAAATCCTTCACAAGTTTGCCTGCTCCTGTGATGTAAAACGAATTATATCTTTACTGAAAAAGTTTTCGTATATGAGAGGACAAGCGATTTGCGAATTTGTCTGTGGATTACGCGCACTTTTCACTTCTGGTGACCTTTACCTCTTTCGGCCTTTCAGTCATTGACTGGCTGATATCGCTCGCTTTGACTTCCATACTTATTCTGTGCTGATACTTTGACTATAAATGACATTTTAAAAGCACATTTCCCTATTTTTGCCTGCACTATCTCTAAAACAATACCTAACTGGCTGTAGCTTAGCTTTTCAGTATGTGTCATATGTTTATCTAAAATCAAACGATTTCTGGAGATCGCCTGCCACCTTTTCAGTTTTATCCTCTGCGGGCACTGCCCATAATTGAATCGTAATTAGAAATTTTCCAATAAATCGCAGTCTTAAAATCGTAGTTTTTGATTTTCCTTTGAACTGCTGTTGGGCAAGCAAATTCAAAGCGCCAACTATGCCCAGGAGGACGAACTGTGTCACTGGTAAATTACCATAATCGAAACCGCCACCCTGGCGCCTTTTCCCTAATCGCAGGGCCGTAATCCAGTAACAGTAACAGCAGCAGGTACCTTGAAAATACGCCGGCGGTTGCATCTGCCTAGCCGATGCAGAACAGTTGCGCTGTGAATGTGTCAAGGGTGAAGTGAAGGTTGCTAACGTACGAAACAATACAACTGTCGGTTCTTGTTTTTGACTTCACGGTCTCAAGGAATATTAATAATAAATTTGACGTATGTGGACGTTTGTTCCAAAAACAAATTCAGGGAACCGTACAAACTGTACGGTACAGTTTCCAGTTTTTGCCATAGTTAGTGGTAGAAAATATTCCCCCGAAAACGAAAACCTCTCGCGCGTAGCCAAAACTCGTGGCGCGAGATACTATCGCACGCAGCCAAAACCCAAAGTGCGGGAGTATTTTCGCGCGTAGACATGACGATTTATTTATTGTAAGTAACTGAGCATAGTTAAGTGCTAGTATTACAGTTCAAAATAGTAAGAACAAGGTGTAAAATATGACAGTATGTTACGTATATTGTTATTTTATGTTATTGTGTGTTGTTTTTAAAACGGGTGGCGGAGCGCATGTACAAAGTAAAACAAATTGTTATTATTGCACGAATGTTCAATGTCACACGACTCTATGAGTCTATAGACTAAACAACTTCAAAATTAATACTGCGATCTTCCATTAATACTTCAGTTGTGAGTTTGTGATAGACAACTTGCTATTCACAAACATGTTTGGTTATTATCTGCAACTGCAAGACATTTCGTCGCTTAATACGGTTTGCTATTGTATTATTATATTTAGAATTAAGAATATTTGCAGTAAATAGGGGAGATAGGGAGATATTTGTGCAATTATGGTGTATGACCATGCTGTAATAATTCGTTACCTACTCAGTGGATACCTGTGCAACAGAACTTGACACTGAGGGCATGGAGATGCACCAAAATCTCTGCAATAATTATTAAAATAAAAATATACAGATAAGTCCGTAAGTGCAAAGCGCAACCAAGCAAATTAAGTCCTCTCAGCGTAAAAACAAACTGCGTTTTCACCAAAAATTCACCAAAAATTGCACCTCACCATGATGTGATGCTGACAAGCTGACAACCAGATTATCCGCACAATCGTCCAGGGTACGGCACAAATCGAACGTTAGGTATAACACTGTATTTCGTAGACGATTACGAGCCCATCCGAAATTCCATAATTATTATAATTTTGACACAGTGCAAAACAAAACTTTTTAAGGCGCAAATGCCGCGCAATATTATACACCAGACGCCAAGAACTGCATCACCACTGCTATTATCATGCAACGGCAGCATTTATAATGCAGTCTGTCTATTGCAGTATATTCAGCACATGCTGCACAGCAATAGCGTGCAGACAACCGTCTGCCACGAACCGGTATGAGGGCGGCAGGGCTGCAAGCCGCATGTACGTACACGGTATATGAGCTGTCCCACTTTCTCTCCTGCTGTAGAACAACTTCCTTCGGGCTGCTAGCGGCGCATGTGTGCTGCTGGTTTCTCAGGCAAGATATTTCGTGCCTTTTAGTCGCGTATACCGTCGTTGTACGTACGTATTGTATGCGTAGGCCACTGAATAATCTTCGGCGGCATCCATAAATTACGTAACGCAAAAATTCGACATTTTGATACCCCCCTCCCCCTATGTCACCAGTGCTATCAAACTCAGATCCCCTCCCCTGAGCGCTACGTAACAAATTTAGAACCCCTCCATAGATATAGCATGGTGATGTCATAATCGTAACAAGTTTTTAATACCCCCCCCCTCCCCCTTTGTAACAACAGTAACGCTTTCAGGACCTCCCCCCTCCCCCAACTTGTGTGACGTAATTTATGGATGCCGCCTTATGTGTATTTATTATTCTGTGTCTTGCCACTGTCTTCTGTCTGGCCAAGACCGGTGCGCTTCTCGTGCTGCGCCGGGAGCTGAACACCGAAAATCTACTTAATAATACGTATTATTAATTTGATGCCATATTCGGCGTACAACTTATGGCAATGATTTTTGTCAAATTATCCACGCACGACCTACTGCAGTAGTTAGTGCGGTTAATTTCGCGCAAAAATTATGCGCCAAAACATCATTGTTCAAATTTTTCTAGTGTATCATAATCGACCTTTGGTCTGAAATAATTGTGTCTATCTATTTAGTAGACTTGTACTTGTAAATGGTATGCACTGTAACGTAAATAATATATGGTCTATGATATATGGTCTATGATTAGGTCTATGACTCTATAAGTAAATAATATATGGTCTATGATTAGGTAGCCAGAAAGCCGCCGTCAACCGGAAGATGCACACCGTGATGAATTTTGACCCGTCTGATAGGAGAAACACCACCGCATTGACACAGTCGTCCACGTCTGCAATCAGGCCAAAATAACCGCAACACCTCGATGTCTTGCTGTTGTTGACAAGCTCTATGTGCTCAGGTACAGTCAATACCTCCTAGCCGCTCCAAAGGTATGCGGTCTAAGAAGGGCTGCGCGGTTGTAGGGTCCGTCTTGTAGCCGGCCTCCATATCCGTCAAAATCAGATTTGAAAACATCGAGTTATAAGATGAATCTACGAATAAGTATAAAAGTACGCTATGATTCCTGAACTGGTTAGCAATATTTTAACTAGTAATAGTTTTTTATTTAATTTTTCGTAACTGTATCTTAAGTCCTTGCACTTGAAGGAAATTTGAAGAGTGCAGCCAGACGCACTTGTACGACCGCATTCACCATTCACATATACACGGCTTGCAACTAACGCATGTTAGAACGTGAATTGACTGAACGTTTATCCGGCTATACAGCACCGTACCGCTCATAGCGTACAAATTTCCTTCAAGTGCAGGGTTAGGGTACAGTACTAGAGGTTTTGCTATTTAAAGCTGTCATATATCTGTTTGTACGAATTTATTTGGTACATTTGTCCATTGATTTCCAGATAATTGCTAAATAAATTCAATGTATGCCGGTTTTATACTTCATGTGGCCCAAGCTCCAGCGCCATGCTGCGCTGCTTTGGAAGCACAGTACACTGTTACATGGTGTGTAACGCTACTTCTGGACAGATACTGGATACAATGACGATGGATCCAGGTGTCTTCCGGTCAATCAACGACTTGGCAACAACCTGCCCAATTAATTAACAACACAAGGTTTAGCTTTTTTTTGGCTTTGGAATTAAACATTAGTACGAGGGCCTGGGAAACATTTATAACGGCTTTCAGATTCACTCCCATTTGTCTGCAAAGCGGGGGACTGGTGACCTTTATTTAAACCGCATGATTGATATAATAAAAAAACGACTGCAAATGATGGTAAACGTATGGATTATTATCGATTATATTATGGTAAACAGTTTACCGTACTTAACCGTTAGCCACGGTACGGCCAAGCCGGTTGTTTTTACCGCAAAAATACAGCACCATAACCGTTAAGCCGTTGGCTAAAACCGTACGTAACCGTATGAAAACTAACTACCAAGTAGATTTTTGTAGGGTTCCGGTCGGGGAAACACTGGTTACCAACTCTAAGATATAACGGCAGCTGTAGCCGGCTAACTTGTTTCGCTCGGGACACTTTCGCTTGCACAATGCACGGAATACTCGGTTGGCGATCGACGGCAGTTCAGCCCGGCTGGTCAGCTGCGCCTCCAGCACTTGCAACAGCATGGCAAGCGTCAGGGGCGGCCTTAATGGGTCCGTCGTGAAAAAAATGAAATGAACATGCAGCCATCACCGTGATACGTAGGTGAAACCGGCAAGAGTATGACGGACAAGATGACATCTGCTTTTCCCCAAGAGCCGTGCTCACGTGCTTGATGAGGAGCAGTTTGTCGGAAGGGTCGCTCAGCAGGGCGTGTGCTCTGGCAAACGGAATAAAGTGCTTGGCGTACAGCAGGTGAGCGCTCCAGCAGTGATGGCCCGGGGTGGCGGTAACTGGCTCACAACCTGACCGTGGTCAACCATCCCAAAATGCGCTCTCTGTGTGGGAGCGTTAACCACGGCAGTATCGGTACAGTATCAGTCTGTACTCTGTGTGCACTCTGTGTGTAGCTCATCGGTTAAATCGTTCTTCTAACCGTAAGCCCTTTTCGGCACATGCCCTAGCTTGAGCATACTTTCGTTAGCCCGTCAGCACGCTCAGGGAGGAATGTTCATCAGACACAGCAGCCTGATAGAGCTTGAAAGCTTTAGCTGGCAGAAATATTTATTCATTAAAGATTAAACGTGAATGCGAAGATTCTGAGCGCTCGCAATAATACGTATTAATAATTTCACTGTTTTCACAGAGTGTGCAGCTTATGGCAGCAGCTCCTGAGCAGGCGTGAAGCTACCGACCACATCAGAATCAGCTTGGAAACCTGCAATGATGAGACGGAATTCGACAACATCAACTGCTACACGGCAGCTGTTCTTCTGTCCCGTACAGTCAGCCCAGCTACAAAAAGCCTGGCTATACTGAAGCCTTTCGACAACATGAATTATTTAATTAATTTGTTGGAAGCCATGCAGATCAAGTTGCCGGTTTTAATTTTGAAAGATTTGACGATTACCGATTCCGGATTTCGGCTCGCATACTACAGGTTGTCAATGTCCGACGACTTCTCGAAATTTCGCGCGAAGCTTGGTGCCACGTTATCGTTCTCGGATTACCAAGAGAGAAGCGACCGCCTCGTACTGTACAACTGGAAACTGCAGAACATTTTTGGCCGAGCGCTGTATCAGATATTCTTCAGTTCGGAAATGTACGGGCTAATGCCTCTGCCAGCCCATGAAATGGAGATGATGATACCGCACACAGTAGAGGCCCAGGCCGATGTGCTGGAGATCGATAAGCTTCAGATAACGATCCCCAAGATCGTTCTGGATTGCAGCCAAGATTGGGACATCATGAATAACAAATTCATGTGGACGTTGGACAGCAATTTCCCACCGGTCACGGATGACGTTTACGTAAAGGTTAAAAGTGTTTATGCTCGTTGGGTGCAGACACTGGCTTATCCGCATGAATGGGAGACCATCCGCGCATATCTCTCTCTGTAAGTTTATTTAAATTATTTTAATAAAAAATATGTAGCTAAGAATTTGGTTAGTGCGACTGTGCGCTTAACATCCGATTGAGAAAGTTTAGGTGTACGAGGACATTTGGGTGCTGTGAACATACCCTGCACGATTAGGCTGCGATGAACAGCTGGTTAGCCGTAGCTCGCAACGCTACTGATATCACAGTCTGAACGCAAACGGCTATAAATTTAGCCGGCTGTTCATCGCAGCCTAATCGTGCAGGGTATGTTCACAGCACCCAAATGTCCTCGTACTAAAAGTTTGATTATACCGTTTAGGCGTATCAAAGATCGTTTTGACACGGAACCGGAATTCTGGCATTTCTTTCAATTTTAAAATAAATTTTAAAGCTTTTGAAATTCAATTTAGAATTCGAAAAACTTGAAGGAAGCTTGGGTTCGTATTAAAACGATCTTAACGCTTGTTTGTTTTTTTTTGCAAGATTTGAAAAGATGTAAGAGATCGGTCCATAATTACACTTCTGGTACACCTTAATGCATTTAAACTTTTGGGAATTTTCGTACAGCCAGAAATTTTAAACTCGATGTGCCGCTTACAAGCGGTTTTCACATTAATGTCAACAGCTTAATTCGTTATACGACGTCATAAGACATTGTAAAGGAGTGTTTGGGAGTGCGCGAAAGTGAAACGTTTCGTGCATATAACCGGAATTTGATACCATGTATCGGGCCACTTATCTTAACCAGTACCAAAAATAAAACTCCGAAGGAGAAGTACATTTAACCAGTATAACGAAATACTACGGTTTGTTTGCAGGTATAGTGAATTTCACTCAGACGGGACACCGAGATCATGGATAGAAACTGATCTGAGACGTGTGGATGTGTGTAAGCTGAGCAGAATGGCCCTAGTTGGACTTGCAGGGCTATTTCGTGTTTGAAATACCGACCCATCTTGGCGAACATACTTTATTTCTCCACGCTCGATACCTCCTGATTTCCTCTTGCTCGAGTACCAGAAGTCTAAGAGCTCTAATTAGTTTGTGATAGGCTCTGTTCAGTGGTTATGATACGCTAGCGGTTAGTTATCTGTTATAATTAACCATAATTGTAACACTCGTAGTCGTGTCTGCTGTCTGATAATGCAGTTGTTATGAAATAGGTGCCGTATATCCTGCTAGTACATGATATTGTATGCTGCACCTGATACTCGCTCCCTTATAATTATTAGTTTCTGCTATTTGTCTTATGTAATATTGCATTCTTATCAATTTATTAAGTACATTTGTTAGTTGTTATAGAAATACTGCTGTTGAACATCCATATTTACCTACTATATATAAAACTGAACTATTTATTCACTATGAATTATGATTGTTGCATGCAAAGTTTCCTTGACGCAAACCGAATGCCTGGGTTTGTTTTGCTGAATCGCGTAAATCATCCGCTCGATATGTGAATGGTGTACAGATTAAAAAGGGGAAAATCAAATCAGATATATGGTTCCCTTGTACCGATGGTGTCAGCCAGCTGGAGTGTGACGTACATAGTACCTAAGGTTACATATACGTACTTACGTAGTAGCTGAAAATGGCACTTACATATGTACCGTGCCGGATCTAACGAACCATATAGATTCCTATTGTTTTCCCGCCTTTCATAGCATTACTGGTATCAAATACTTACTATAGTGTGAGAAGGACTGGTAACCTACCGTTTGAACGTCATCACTCTCGCATACACGGGAGGGCGGCTGACATGGCGACAGATGCGCGATTTTCACCGTTTTTGTCAGTTTTCTCACCATATTCCTTTTCTCTTCTATTTCTAGCCCCTCATGTTTGGGTTTCTAAATTCAATATGATCTGTTAAAATATCAGAAAGCTTCAGAGGAGAAAGGAACTGAGAATATATTTTACAAAGGACAAGAAAATCTGTGGACCTATGGTAAGCAATAGCACAGCAGTGCATTCTGTATGCGACAGTGATGACGTAGTCGACCGTTGCACAGTCGGTTCCCAGTCCTTCTACCTATAGCAAGTTCTTGCTGGTATATTATGACAGCAATAGCCATTGTTAAGTAGCCAGAAAACCGCCGTCGATCGGTAGATGCACACCGGTGATGAATTTCGACCGGTCTGATAAAAGGAACACCACCGCATTGACACAGTCGTCCACATCTGAAATACGCCAAAACAAACATGACACCTCGCTGTACGTGTTGTTGAGCAAATGCAAGCCACACTACTCGATATACACTATACAGTGTATTCTTTACCGCCTAGTCGCCCCAACGGGGTGCGGTCTAAGAAGGGCTTCGCGGTGGTAGGATCTGTATAGCCGGCCTCCATCGCCATGTCCGTCAAGATTAAGTTCGGGAGTATCGAGTTAACACGGATCTACGAACAAGTATAAAAATTAATTATACTTAACAGTTAATAGTTACATTCTGTTCATGAACCATTTAACAGTATCTTACTAGTAAGATTTTTAATCGAATTTTACCTACAACAGTTAAAATGTCTGATGTTTGTGTTAAACCATTTTGTCTATTTGGTACTTCGGCATTTGGTAATTTTTTTTATTAATTAGCACATAATTGCTGATTAATAAATTCAAGGGAAACGTTTCCGGTTTTTTACTTTATGTGGCCCCAGCTCCAGCGCCATGCTGCGTGTCACCGCGTCCAGCGCCGCTTTGGAAGCACAGTACACGGTTTCATCGTGTAGCGCTACTTGTGCACAGATACTGGATACATTGACGATTGATCCTGGTATCTTCCGGTCAATTAACGACTTGGCAACAATCTACCAAATAGTACAACAACACAAGCTTTAACTTTCTGTGTTTCGTTTGAAATTAATTAATAAGCATTATCTTGCCTGGGACACATTAATAACGGCTTTCAAATTAACTCCCATTTGTCTGCAAAGCGGATCATGGGTGACCTTTTGCATTAAATCGCACGGTTGATATAAAGTGTACCTTTCGTAGCCCTGTTCAGTAATTTGAAGGAACGATTCGTGGACAAATGTGGCGGCATTGTTGACCAGCAGGTCGATCGGCAGAACCGCCTCGACAGCGCGACGGGTGGCGTCCCAGTCGGAAAGATTCACTTGGATGGGATGTATTCGGGAATTCTGGAAAAACATCCTCAGAAAACTGCCGTAGGACCGTACTTTTATAGCCATGCGCAAGTTGCATTATTTGCGTTCATGTCACTACTATATAACCGAGATTTATAGCTTAATTCAGCTACATACAGTCGTTATTATTTTTAAAGCTTATTACGTACGCTGTGCCAAACAAATTCCATATACAGACACGTCAGCGTACCTCTTGTTGAAGCTTCTGCAAATGCTCGGCGGATGTCCCCACAGCAAACACATCCGCTCCTAAACTGGCGAGCTTGAGCGCAATTCCCTTACCGATCCCTGTATAATCAACCGTATGTCCATAATAAACGTATTACAGCGAACAATATGCACTGAATAAATTTTAATAAACCATAGTATGTATTTTCATCCGAGCTGTGATTTTCAATAGTATTTTACCTAAAAAAAGCACCGACAGCAAAGACTGCACATTTTGCCTCGATTACCTCGGCTAGCTCCGGTAACCAAGATGCGTTTTCCTGTAAACTGCTCGCTGCCGGATGAATCAGTCATCGTGGAAGGTAAATCAGCTGTAATTGCTTCAGATTCTTCAATTTCGTTGTGATTCGAAGCACGGTGTCTCACAATTGACTTTTAAAAATCATAACAAACGATGCATGCGTGCGCGGTTTGTCGAATGCAGTTGTTGGGTTTTGGTGCCTTGATTGAGCTTGTCATACCACAATTGTTCAGTCGTAATCGTACAGGTAATTGAGCGTGCACAACTTTGAGGTATAACACCGCAAGCCAAGATCAGGATATTATGGATAACATGTACCGCAGTTCGTACATTTGCTTTTACATGTGGGTAGCGCAAGTCAGCAAATGTTTGATGACACCAGCAAATTTCACCGGGTATCACGCGCAATAACGCGCATACCATTATGTTTGCTATGCTGATAACTGATAAGCGTAGTTATTCTTGTTGCCGCTTCGACTACAACAAACATTACTGTGGTGCCAAGTAAATTCCGCACCATTTCGTAAAGCCAGATACACTAGAGCTGTATATGGGGTTCAGCGTTCGCTGAACGCGCTGAACAGCGTCAGGCTGCCAGTAGTAAAGGGCCGAGCGTAACGGAGCGTTGCTCACTCTTGAAAAATCGTTCCTGCTTCGAAACGATTCTTTATCAGGATTTATAGACGTGAATCTAGTCCAAAATAAATTTTTACTATTTATGGTTACAAAACATGCTAACTGTATTACGTATTATCTAACTGCTGGTTTTTTTAAGTAGTATTACGTAGTAATCATTTTAAGTAGTATTACGCGAATGCACTTTTTGTAACACTGATGGCCTTTGCCCAATAAAATCTACATAATGCTGGTTCGAACTGCTTTGTCCGTTTGTCGTACCCGCGTATACTACTGAATATGAATTATTTCAAATTGCCCGTTCAGCCAGTTCATAAGGCTGTAGACAGTGAACCCACTGAACCCTAAAGCCGTCCATACAGCGCTTGTCTAGCATGCTGTACGAAAAAGTACGGAATTCACTTGGCACCACAGTACTTTTGTATTTACAATTTTACACCTACCAGCTTTGATTCACTCCGTATTATTTGCTATCGGAATGCCCAAGAACGGTAATCTTAAGCGCAAACCACACTTCCTGCACCTCTAGTGCACGGCAGCAAAGGTGGACACGTGTTTTAAAAATCAGTAAAATTTTGAAGTTCACGTACTGCCCCGATGGGGACGCTTTTATCAAGCGAGTCATTATGATTCGAAGCATTTCTTTTCTACGATAACTGCATCTGGTATCTACCTAAAATGGTTTTCAAAATAAAACAGTTTCAAGATAATTATTATGGATAACGAATTTCAAACCCGATGATTTTATTATGTAGTATAAATCAGCGCAGGCATGTCGTCATGTACCGTATACATGTACTGGCTTTTGTCGAAATAAAACTCAAATAAAACAGATTTGTGAGAAGCTTCGCAATCATTACGTCAGTGTCTACAGGTATACTGAATACATCGTTCTCTTTTAGGATCTTGTCTTCGGTGGCGTTAAGCGAGATTTCCCGTCAAAGTAATGGAGGTGCCGTTGCAGATGTGGGCGTCTTTCTTTACCATCTCACTCATTACCAACAAGTACGATACGGACAATCCGACTATCTGCAAACAGGCCAACACTTTCACTTATAGCGATTAGCGACCGTTCAACAGCTTTCCGGTAGCTGCAGTGGGCTTACGGTGACAATCAGCTGTTTGTTGAGAGTAAACAGTCCCCATCCCGAGAATTCGATGGGATAATCGCGTAAACGCTGCACCGTCAGCGTGCACAGCGCTTTCCAGCGTTTAGTTGACCTTTCCTCGACTAGTGTTACGGCGGAATTCTCCATGCTGTGCAGAAGACGGTACAGAATCGGAACCACCGAATGCGCCTGTAAGGAAAAAAAGTGGGTAAGCGTTTTTGATTTCGTCAAATTCAGGACGTTTTCTGTTTCCGTTGAACCGTCAGATGAAAAGACTAATTGGTCTACAATTCAGTTGGCAAAGCTAAACACACACTTTTGTCAGACAATGAAACCGGTTTTCGGTCTTTACTACTAGAACGTTTTTGTGTGCACTAACCCCGAAAAAACATACTTTTGTTGTTATCTTGCAGTAACCCAGCTAAGAAAGCGTAGGACCAAGCACCTACCTGATCGTGAAGGAAACACGATACGCCCACTTTAATCAGCAGTAGTAGCACACTTCCAATTCCGCCGATGAGGAACAAAAAGCGGTGTTCTTCCCGGTCCATGGAGTACAATCCCAGTGCGGTGTCCATTTTAAAATTGAACACAAAGTTCAGCAGGAATATCAGCATGGTTACATCGGTAGTACAGTAGAACAGGGTGGCCGGGGCGAAGATAGCGTCCATCTGTGCATGGATGCGGGATAACTCCTGGTGCCGGTGGAGAACCCACTCAATCCCGATTAAATCTGTCAGCTGCTCCGACGCGCACACGGATGGTTCGTGCCAATGTTGGAGCTGCTTGGTGCACTCGCCGAACTGTAGGGCATTCGTGAGGCCCAGGAAGCAATAGGCGCATACCGATGCCAGGCGGGAGAACATGGCGTTAGTTAGTATGAACTGCATGATAAACATTACCGGCGCTCCTGCATAAAACGTTTGTACAATTCATTTGGGGAAGCAAATTATCAAATAAATAAATAAAATCAAATATCTGTCGTTACGTCACTCGTGGGTTAACAAGCTGTGCCGTTTCCCATTTTCTAATAAATACCTAAGACAAATAATTTTCATGTGACAAATAATTTTCATCATGGACCACCACACAAAAATTTGTGTACCATTATAGAAAGGGTGTTTATTTTATGCCGTAATATAAAGCTAACAATGTGAAGAATCCTACTCTTGCTTTTCCGGGACAGCATACGGAAATTAATATCCATTCCAACCATACGCACGCCTATGTTAGTACTTCTACAGAGTGCACAGCCATATAAACCTTAATACTTTACCTGGAAAATTGATGCCCCATAATGTATCATAGAGACCAACGGCGGGAAAGATTTTCAAGTAGAACATCACTACAACGGCTGCAAACAGCAGCACAGCCTGACCGATGATGTGCGTTTTAATCTGCATGATACGCGGAAATGTGGATGGCAGAAGAAGTCGATTTAGTGCTACCACGCAATCGTAGATATGCCGATTCGTGTAGGTGTTCAGCGGAAGCGCTAGAAACGCCACAAATAAATACTGCACATTGGACAGCAAATGTAAGCTCACGTCCAGTTTGTCATTTGCGTGAGTTATGGCCTGCAGGAAGTGGTACAGCAGATATACCGCCATCACCACGTTTAAGAGAAGGACGAACAGCATTATGTAGATGGGCCATATGATGAATTTGGGGCGTTTGTCCCATTGCCGGGGAATCGACCAGGGATAACATCCGGTCAAGGATAAACCAATCATAAACTGCCGGCACGAGTTGAGGAAATGGGATTCTTCAGTTTTCTGTGTTTCTTCCATTTTTCAAGCGAACTGCGATCCAATTGCGACAATAATTAAATGCTAAAGCGAACGCTTCCAGAACTCAAAGTTAAAGCTGCTGGCAACATTTATTGCAGCTTCCGGTTTAAAACGGCTGATTCAGCATATATTTAATTCCCAAAACGTTGGTTAATTTAACGGTTATTTGTTTTATACTTCAGAGTTGCGTTCTGTAAACCATTGCGTATAATTGAAGTATTCTATTACGTATTTCGTACCTGTTTTAGCTGATCACTTATAAATCTCTCTACAAACCAGATTCATAAAGCATTTTCGGAAAGTGGGGTAGAACGCTAGATAAAAGAAAACCGGCAAAAAATCCTTGGCGAAATTGCAGAGAAAATACGGCACTGTGTACTCGGGACCGCCTCCACGGCGCAGTCCGAAGAAATACAGTGCTCGCGCGGCCGCCTGACAGACCCCACTGGCCACCACAATCGTCGCTCCAGCCAAGACATTTTTGGCCATATCGCGCAGCACCTCCTTTTTGGCGTTATAATCATTCTGCGAAAGGTCATTGGGATGGATACTTCTGTGTCGGTACATCTGCCACTTAATCCGCAATGCCACATAGGTCAATCGAACCTGCGGCATGGCCATAACCAGCAGTGCCCCGAAAAACTCCGTATTGTAGAAAATGATCCAGTGTGGATCCATCCAGGCCATGTAGCCACCGCGGTTGCACGGTATAATGAGGATCTCATTGCCCAGGATACTGAAGACGATGGTGTAGAAGAGGAAGATGCTGCCGCAGAGAATCACGTGGCTGCCGATGATCACCGGTTTGGTTACGCGGCGTCGGTAGAACAACGGGTACTCCACCGATAACCACCGGTCGATACTGATGATCATCAGGGTCCCGTTGACCCACGGGCTTAAAATGACCCCGCCTCCGAGAGACAGCTGTCCCGGCCAGGCGTAGGGTACGGTGGGATCGATTAGCCGGTAGATTGGCCCGATTGTCCCGGTGAAACCGCGCAGAAGTTCCCCACCCGACAAGAAAATGTGGTGGATAAGGAAGAGTGGTTTGTTGCGCCATATGGCAAAGACCAGCAGGTTCACCGCAGCGGCGATGACGATGAGGAGCGTGGGGATCATTTGGGTGAAGGTGTGCGCGCGGAATTCCCACGAGCCGCTCCACGTCCAGCAGGGCTCCCGGGCCGCAAAGGCCCTCTTCGTCAGGTTGGTTGAATTCAACAAAAACATGGTTTCTATCGGCAGCGGAGAGTTCACCAGCATTTAACCAGGACCTCCATTGACTGGTCAAAGTTGTTGTAGTTGTGGCTTTTTGTGACGGTTGGTATCCTTTTCTGGTATGGTATGCAATACGTATAGCGAATATAACCGATGGGTTTAGAGTGTGTAGCGTCTAGAAATGCGTTTGTTCCCCTCTAAGTGAGTAGTTCACCAAAAAACGCTACTCAGTAGGTCATATCCCATCCCGTAACGAGCGATTGTATTTAATAGAGGTATTATGGTACGGATAGGGAAATATTCGACTCGCAAAAAAAAGCGTTCGATGGCCGATTTGCACGTTACGCTATTAACGCGGAACAAAATTCACTTCATCTTAGTGTATCATGTATAGACACACGTATTCCGATATGTTGCACGATGCACGTAGCACTCGCAGAGCTCCGATTTACCGTTAGAGAAAGTTATTATTGGTAGAAAATTATATATTGTGAAAAATAATTATCTGTAGGCACGATACGTCCCATTCTACAAAGGTTACAGATTCCCTACAGCGTACCGCTGCATCAAACTAGCCGAAACTGAGTATCTCTATCAATAAGCGATTGGTTGGCTTCTAATATACTTCAGATGACACCGCTAGTACTGTAGTTTAAATCATCTTGCGACATATTGAAGGCTGCGCTTTAATTATTGGGTAGCCTTGCGTCATCCTAATTGTGATCTAAGGCTCTAAGCAGGTAATATCTTTAACTTTCTGTGCCGATTTCGGCACATACCGCTGTAGACGAACACGCTTCGGTGGTTCGGCCGGATTCAACACTCATTACGCCGATTACCTGAAGTGGGAGCCTTATTTTTTTAGAAGGACGCACATTTTCTTCGTTTCCCGCTTTCCTGCTATTCTGAACTTTCGATTCTTGTCATCAATAAAAACTGTAATTTTGGTAGACTCCACTGCATTTTAGCCAAGAGTTTTGTTATTTGCCAGGCTATCGACTACGAATTTTTTTCACGAAACTTTTATATTCGTTGCCCTTTTACCGGGTTTTGGCATATCTGGTCGAGAACAGTTTTAATTGTTTTTCTTCTTTGAATTTTCTCATTCGCATCGACTAGAATCTGAAGCAAATTTTATATTGAGTAGTCGATGAATGGTATTAATAAAAATACTGAAGAGAAGAGCTGAAAGAGTTTGCGGGAAAATATATATAATAGGGATAAAAATTTCTGGTATGTCCTTTGTAGTTTTGTGAAAGGGAAAGCCGAAATGTCTGTAAAGTTAAAACACCATCCAGCACCCATCGTGTTCTCCGGTATCTCGCTTTCGGTGCGCTACCCGGAAGTTCTCGCACAAGCAATAGCAGTGCAGTTACAGATGGTGGCATCTTTCTTCCCCATCTCACTCATCACCAGCAAATACGACACGGACAATCCGACAATCTGCAAAAACGAACCAACAATTTCATTTCGGCAGAGCGTTCACTCGTTTTCCAGCAGCTGCAATGCGCTTACGGTGGCAATCAGCTGTTTGTCGAGAGTAAACAGTCCCCATCCCGAGAATTCGATGGGAAAATCGCGTAAGCGCTGCACCGTCAGCGTGCATAACGCTCTCCAGCCTTTCGTTTTTGAGCGTTCCTCTTGTTCAACGGCGGAATTCTCCATGCGGTGCAATAAACGATAAAGAATGGGGACGACCGAATGCGCCTGTATGGTAAGAAGATTCGCAAGAATGGTTAGTACATTTTAAGACGCTAGCCCCATTCCTTCGGTCCGTCGAAACAATGGACCCCACTGGCCAAAACGCACTGGCATACTTTGGGTTACACGATATTGTATAATAGGTTTTCTCAATTTTCACTCACAAAACCGTTTCGTGAGCCACATAAGTCGTACATGAATCGTAGGGCTCAGAAAAAGTTTCTTCGTGGTTAAGCCTTTCTGTATTTGAACCCTATACGTATACATGTTGCAGAGGGTTTGAAGATTATATTTCCTAAATTAGTTTTCGAACCCGTGGCCGACTGACAAAGTCTGCTTTCTAACAATTAGTCCTACATTGCAATGACTGTATTATGATGCACTCTGTACGTGCACTTTGTATGAACACAGAATCGGTTAGTAAATTTAAGCAGTAGAATAAGGCAGAAGCGGAATGGTATCCTATATAAAACTTCTATGATCGACCAGTTAAAAAAGCAAACTGCAGAAAACGAAGGCAAATTACCAACCTGATCATGAAGGTAACAAGATACGCCCACTTTAATCAGCAGCAGCATCACGCTACCGATTCCACCGATGAGGGATATAAACCGGTGCTCTACACGGTCCATAGAGTACAATCCCAGTGCAGTGTCCATTTTAAAATTGAGAACGAAGTTCAGCAAAAAGATTAAGATAGTCACATCCGTGGTGCAGTAGAACAGGGTGGCCGGGGCGAAAACAGTGTCCAGGTGCGCATGAATCCGCGATAACTCCAGATGCCGGTGGAGAGCAGTGTTAATGCTGGACAAATCTGTCAGCTCCACGTCCACATGTTCCTTTATTTGCTGGTAGCAGGCTCGAAACTGTACGGCGCTAGTGAGACCCAGAAAACAGAACGCACACACCGATGCCAGTCGGGAGAACATGGCGTTGGTCAATATGAACTGCATGAAAAACATCCAAGGGGCTCCTGAAAAACAGTCTTGCACAGCGTAATCTGGGGAAATACGATGCCTGGTATATATAATCTGCTTAACGAAGTGGGACTTTCTGCATAATGCACTTGCAATATTAAAATTAGATATAGCGCATTTGGTTGCAAAATTACAGTAAAACCTGCGTGCATTGAACACCTGCGGTTCCAAATTTTTCGTTCAATGTAGGCGCCTGTTCAATGTACAAAACAGCTGCCCCCAGGGGGCCGCCCAGGGGCAGTGGTTCTGTGCACTAAAACTGCTCTTGAGGGCGAACGTGCGCCGCTTAAAGGGGGGCAGCCCCATTAGCGAGCTTTTATACGCTATTTTCGCGCATAACAAATCAAAAATCGTGTGGTGTTAAAGTTGTAACAAGCGAATGGCTTGTGAACTTTGGTCCGTTAAGCACATTTTTTTGTACTTTTTCGCTCCCGAAATCAGATTTCGGCGCTTTGTTGATTTTTAAAAGGGCTAAACATTAGTAAATAATTAGATCCGTTCCAGCTAATTTGTTCAATGTTCACTTTAGAGAAGTGTTCAATATACGCGGGGTCCCCCCTGTGTTATAGTCTACGAGACGCGCCGGTTCCGTAAGGGCCGTTCAATGTACACCAGTGTTCAATTTACGCGAGTGTTCAAAGTCACAGGTTTTACTGTACTGTAAGACACTACTGGGAAAAATGTTTTGAAGTTCATAGGGTGATTTTCGAAAGTTTTATTGAGCGTATACTTGTGACATGGACAAAGTGCTTTGCTCAAGCTGTTTATTAGATCGGCCATTATAGAGTACAGATACTTTACCGGGGATTTTGATTCCGAATAATGTATCGTACAGGCCAATGGCGGGATAGATCTTCAGGTAGTACATCACTACAACGGCCGCAATGAGCAGCGAAGCCTGACCGAGGATGTGCTTTTTGATCTGTATGATACGCGGATATGTGGACGGCAGGAGAATTCTATCGAGTGCCACCACGCAGTCGTACAGATGCCGGTTGGTATAGGCATTCAACGGAAGCGCCAGAAATGCCACAAATAAATACTGCACATTGGACAGCATATGCAAGGTTACGTCCAGTTTGTCGTTTGCTCGAGTTATGGCCTGCAGATAATGGTACAGCAAATACACTGCCATCACCACATTCAAAAGGAGGACGAACAACATTATTATAATAGGCCATATGACGAATCTGGGGCGTTTGTCCCAATTTCGAGGAATCGACCAAGGATAACATCCGGTCAAGGATAAACCGATCATAAACTGCCGGCACGAGATGAGGAAATGGGATTCTTCGATCTTCTGCTTTTCATCCATTTTCCATGTGAAAATACGACTCGATCGTGAAAGATTTGCAAAACGTTTACGAGTTTTGATACTAAAGCACAGAGGACATGCTTCTACTAGTTGTAGGTTTCCAGTAGGCAATGTACTGTACATAAATGAGATTATTGGACATCGAAAAGCATTGACGCATTTATTTATTTTGCAATGCTGAGCTTGCTGTTCTGACACGGATGAGCGGCTGGTACACCCCTGGGCGCATAACGCAAACCACGAGCCAACACAATTTGCATCTTTGTTTCACTTCTCACATGCTGCGGGATAAAATCCACACAAGCCGCTCAGGCGACCAGATCTTACCAAATACAGAATCGGGCTTCTGCTAGATCAAAGAAGCACGGCAAGTAAGCGAGCAAACACCAAAACAATCCACCTATGACACGGTTAGTTTCCGTTTATTTTTTCGGGCCAGGGGCTTGACTTGTATCCAAAGTAGCCTCTACGTGTCCTTCATGTACCCAACAAATTTTCTAATTTTTTTAATCACTGCCCTATGCCACTGTATGTCTATGCATCCCGAGTGTTTCATTAGGAAAGCTGTTCGGATAATTGAAAGGCACTGGACGAATGCAGTAGCCAGTAGGGACGCATTAAATAGGTTGGGATAATGCTGTTGCAGATACCTCCCAAAGTTGTATTCAGCAGGATACTTGAAGCGTACTTAACTGATTTTTTGTTCGACGACAGCATTAGCCAGTGCTCCTCGTAACAAGTATCATGCGCTGAAGGACGTCTGCAGTTTATTAAAATTCACACTCGGAAAGAAAATATAAACGTTCAGTATCATTCAACAATTTCTTTCGCGAACATATTTTCGATGCTTGCCGGTGTAAAGGCGGGATGCTCCGCCCTTCTGAGTAGCTATTCGCTGTTTTTGGGGAATTCCACCCCGCACATATTTGCGCTGTTTTGACGGATCTGCAGCACAGTTGCACTGGCTGCAGAATCCTTCCTCATTAGTGTGGTGTTGCTGCGCCACGGTGCGCATTAGATTCGGCAATAAAGCCTCATCCGGGTTCACCGCTGTTCGCTATCGAGGATACGCGTGGCGCCCATACGGCCCCGCGTTATACCGGATAAAAAAACCATTTTATTTAAGTATAACAGCACTGCGTTCTTCCGTACTATGTAATAGAACGAGCTAAGGTCAGAATCTAAGAATTTTGTTTCGGCTTTTCCTCTTGAATGGTAAAAGGTAACAGAAAAATATAAAGATCGTATAAATATCTGTACATAGATTAATGTGCTTGTGGTACCATAAACCTTGTTTTTGATGTAGTACTGATCGTACACCGCATAAATGTAATCGTACAGATGAGATGACTCACAGTATGTTTCATCTGTTTGACATATAATAACGTTCGATTTTCGAATACTTATAGGCACCGCGCACAGATGCCCTATCGGAAACAACAACATAAGTTCTCCATAAAGAATACGCAATAATTCTGTAATCAAATTTCAGCCATCTAGCTAATCACTTATTTTCGGCTGAAAAGCATGTGTACAAGCCGGTCCGGATGATGAGCACGATAAAGAACAGTGAAAAATGTAAATTCATGGGTTACGCCAAACGCCACGCTACGCCACACTGTTTAAACACGTAACATGCGTTTCGCTGGCTGGTGGCCTGCTGCGCACCTGATAATTTAATGAGAATACTTGTAATTGCCTGGCGGATGGTGGCTAGAAAACGGTCGGTGCAGTAAGGGACACTAACTGCGGAGCGCATTTACGCATTGTGGTAAACGTAGTGTAGTGGCCATCGTGTTCAGCGCTAATATCGCGCTAAATATGCATTAGCTGTACCTTTACGTGCTCATTACACGGACAGGCTTGTACTTTGAAATAGGTGTGATAATTTTGGTTATCCGTTTAATTCGGCAGTTTTTTAATCAGTATATCGCGCTCGTTACAGTTAAAACTAGAATATTTGTTATCGATGTCAAAATTTAATTACTTTCATAGCAATATTTGGAAATTGCGAGCATATCCAGTGAATCCATGAACCTGTGCTACTGCTACGTACATGTTTCCGATTATTTGTGCAATGCACTGCCGGTCTCACACAGGAAGCTATGTTCCCTTAGGCGAAGTAACAAAAGACACGCATTACGCGTGCATAACCTGGTGATTCAGGTGCAAACAAACGCAAAAACCTGCTCAAATAACTCAATCATATTGAATTTGCCAAATACCGGAAAAACCTACTCGTTTTGATGGTTACATGACTTTCGCTATACTTTAGCTCATGACAAATACGGCAATTATAATCTAATTATAACAACTAATTTGTTACTGCATTTTTCTTTCCAGCATGTCCGGCATTTGTCTTTCCAGCATGTCCTTAATAATGCGTAATGTAACATAAATAATTATGGCATACAGATAATACAGGTAACGGCAAATTAAACCATATAAGAAGTACTGATAAGCCTTATATGACTGTGCTTTTCGTAGAGTCTCGTAAAAACACAATAAACGGCCTTAAAAAATACGAAATGGCATGTAAACCTTAAGGAAGAAGATTTTTAAAATTGGATACCTTATTGAGCTGCAATTTGCTGGGTTTTTTAATATACGTAGTTTCCGATGTATCATGATTCCATGACCGACCTTGCATTTTTTTGTAATTACGTTAGTTGATTTAGAGTTCTTATTTTTAAATTTTTTTTGATCTTTTTCGTATATTTCTCAAAGATTAATCGACACAACTGCGACTACTTGGTTTACATGCAGTGATTTTTTTATGGTACTGTACTAGTAAATTTGTCTATCAATGAAACGTATACCAATGTGAAGGATATAATAAGTACTTTTAATAACAATTTTTACATTCTCCGGTATTCATTGCCGGTCTTTTATTAGATTAAGTTAAAGCAGGATTAGAAAAACGTTCGATATAGGAAAACCGTCATGGTACAGCATCCTAGAGAAAATCTATCTGTGCCAGTATTTCATGCCCATATTGGTAGTGTCTTTAGGGAGCAACAAGAGTACGCCCCCTGGAAGCGGCACGTGCATTCCACAACTTTACAATGGCAGAGCGAAGATTACTTAAGGACAGCGCAAAAACAATGGGATCCAAAATGCCTGAAGAGGATACAAAATCAGGGCAACTTTCCTAAATCCATCCATTGAACCGGCAACCATAAAACTGTCCAGTGTCCCGTATACTTGAGCAGGCGTCCAGCATATCGCTATACTGCACGTCAGCAGCGTTAGGATCAGGAACGGGCGAACGGTGCCGTCGTTCTTCTGGCTGGTAGCGCTTGTTGCTGTAGTCTGCAATATAATAGTAACATTTGTATACTGCCTTTGTATTACCTTTGTAGTGCAAAAGTCTACAACAAGTTAAAAACGGCGTTCACGGTGACAGACAACTTATATCACGTGCCTTGCTCGAGTTAGCTTGGTTATTGGTTCCGTCAATGGGCATCGGCGATGCTTGCGCTGCCGTTCTTGTTCGCCGCCGGCGAAGAAATTTGTACAGCATGTACGGGTAGGGAAAACCACTAGTACAACAGGCAAGTTAAACCCTACTATGATAACTGTAACTGCATACACCGGCTGGTCGGCCGCGTTTAAAATGCATTCAAACTGTTCCGGTGCCGGCCGATAGTACGAGGTACAATTCGTCGATGAGAAAAATGGGAAAACATACGATATGCACATACGCTACCATGCCGACCGTAAGCAGACACGCCACTTTAGTGTTGTGATGATTGCGGTATGACAGGGGAAAGGTCAACGCCCACAGGCGATTGACGGTGATCAGAACGTGCATGTGCATAGCCACACTGGCGAACACCCAGATAATGTAGGTATAGAAACTGCAAGCGGCTCTGGACATCCACCAGCCCCCGTACAGCGACTGCAGAATTTCCAGTGGACCTTGCCCAACAGCGTAGAATATATTAGCCGACAGAAGCGCAATGAGATGCACGTTAAATCCAGTGCGCAATGTTTTGTGTGCGACAAGAAAAAGCAGCATGGAAACATTGAGAACAAGTTGCACAATGAACCAGGCCAAGAGCGAAGTCGCAAAGTAGTTCCAGTCTGCAGTCCCCGAAATGGTGGCGACAGAAACGTTAGTCGTGATATTACTAAAGGTACCGTTCATAGTGCTATTTGCAACTAACACACGTGGCATCGAAAATGCGGTGCACTAGTGCGGCGGACGTGGGCTGCTTCAGTTTTACTCACGCTTATGGGGGGAAAGTGAAATTTATATACACCTGTGCTGTCATAAGTTGTGCAACAACTCATCCATTGACGCAGAAACAGGAATTCAAGAAAGTTCTACAATTAAGAATTCCATGAAACAGCGTTAGCTAGGCTTTTCACATGGAATTATAGTTTCCGCTTGCCGGTTAAAATAGATACTCGTATCCTGTGGCGGAGTGATCTACGCTCGCTATCACCCTGGCGGATGGATACACCTGAAGAATGTCGGTAAATTCCTAAAGAATCCCAGTTGAAAGCCTTTTGCGTGCTGATCCAGAGACACAAACCTAGGCAAACCGATAACAGCCGCTAGTACGATATCTAAGGCATGTAGCATGCTTGTAAAAAACTTTTGATAGTTCAAATTGGAGTGTATTTTGAATTTTATGTGTGTTACAGTATATTAGTAACTATCGGTTCCACGGTAGGTTAGAATAAGAACCGGTTACTGAACGCAACGCGAGTAGTTAAAGCGAAATCCGAATATCGATTTCAAAACACGAAAAAAAAACCAAAACTACCAAAATACGATTACGAAAATTACCCAAATACGAAAATTTTAAAGAGCGATTTCTAAAATAGACTTATGTTGAGTCCGGCCATTCTTACTAACAACTTCAGAGCCTAGTGGATTTTTTAGGCGACGAAAGCTGATTTTCGATGGAGATGAATTTTTCTTTCCGAACATCAAGCGCCTTGCACATACAAATTCACATCTCCTTGAAAATTTAATTGCTTCTGTGTTAATATGCACGCTCTAACATAAGGTGGCCTTAAAGGATTC